AAAAACTGGCCAAAAATGGGTTCTAATAAGGGTGACAGATGCGCGTCGTCAACACGAGTAATAAACACTAAGGCACTACACCTTTTTACAAAAGGAAAGTGGCCGGAAAAGAAGAAAGAAAATCGGAAGCCATGGCTGCCATGGATGGCCAGCTAAGAGAGGGGAGACAGAGAGAAAAATCTGATATTTTCTCTTAAGTCACTCTATTTATAGAAAATCTCAGAAAGTGACTCGAATAGGCCCCGCCAGGTCGGGAAAAGTGGAATTCAAGCAAACACGCTCAAAAGGCAAAACTTTATGAATGAAAAAGATTCAAAATGAGAAAATATGAATAACGGAAGAAACGGCGTCAAAAATCGAGTCCCAAGCAGAAAGTTAAGCCCCAAACAAGTTTAGCGGCAACCGGTGCCGAAAACCCTGAAACTGGAGAAAAACAACCAGAAGGGAATTCAAAGAGTACATGACTTGACAAAAAGTAAAAATGAATCCCGTACGAGGATTCAGACTCAAAATAAGGCGTTTAGCAATAACTTTTATTAATTGCACAATGGCCCCTCCAAAAAGTGAAACTGCACTAATGGCCCAGAATGAAAATATCTTCCAAAAATATTTTCTTAAAAACCCCTGAAATAAAATATCTTTAAAATATATTTAGGAAAAACACCCAAAAAAAAGAAAAAGATTCCGAAAAACTATGCATCCATACCCCTATGGACACCGGGAGCAACCAGAGTACTTTCTAACAAAAGTAAAAATACGTATTTCGTGGAAACCACTTAGAATGAAGATATGTGAAGTCAAAAACCAACTCCAAACATAAGAAGTGAGGTTATGCCAACAAAGTGACAAATGGGGAAATGACAAAATAGGGAAAATGACGAAATAAAGAAAAAGACGAAAACTGAATAGTGTCGAAAAACAAAAAAAATGTGGAATTGACTCAGTCCTCAAAGGAAGTTGTAAATCCAAATAAAAGAGTCTTAGAACTCACTCCAGAGCACTCGAGATGACACTAAGCGATGAAGAACTAAACCCAGGAAGGAAAAAAATCAACGAAAAAAAATATCCGTGAAAATCTGATAAAAGGAAAGGAAGGAAAAAGACCGGGTCATTACATTGTCATTCTTCGCTGCACCACTATACTCATCTATTCTTAGCAAATTCCAAGCTCAAATAATTAAACTTGGAATCTACTTTCGCATCACCAAATTGAACTCTTCTTGCTTTTGGAATAAAGGCCGGTACTCTTGCAATTGTCAAGACTTCTTCCTTCTCTTGTTGTTCTTGATTCTTTATTCTAGTAGATCTCCAAATAGACTTCCACTCCGTCTTTGCAATTGCTCCACCTAGCATAGTATTTCCTAACAGAATATAGAGATTGTTGACCTTTCTTCCTAAAAGTATGACACGTGGCACTCTTATAATCTTCATCAATCCATTTTTCACTTTACACCAACAACCTTTGGAATCCAATGCTCCCACAGAGATCACATTCCTTCTAACACTTGGAATATGTCGTACATTCGTTAAGATTCTTACCAAACCATTCACTGTCTTAATTTTAATTGTTCCAATTCCCATAATATCGCAAAAGACATTATTCCCCATAAATACCTTACCACCTACAGGTTTGTAGGTAGCAAACCATTTTTTATGAGGACACACATGAAAGAAAAGAATAAGCAGAATCAAGTATTCATTCCTTAGCTTCTCTATTATTATCAATGATTGATAATGCTTCATCATTATCACTATCTTCTTTTATATCATCAGATACAATAACGGCAGCGGATGCACTCTCCTTTCTTTCTGAACAATACCACTAAATATGCCCATTTCTTCCACACTTATAACATCTTTTCTCTGATAATGGCACAAGGTTTCTTGAAGCTCCAAATCTCTACTTCTCTTGAGTAGTAAGAACTTGAGCCTGATCATCGCGACTCTATTCATCATTCAACTTTTCATTAGAGAACAAAGCACTCTTAACTTGTTCCACCGAGATGGTGTCTCTCTCATAAAGCAAATTATTGAATAAATGCTTATGGGTAGAGCGTACTAACGTCAACAAAATAATTGTTTTATCCTCATCACTTAACTTGACATCAATGTTAGACAAATGACAAATAACTTTGTTGAACTCACCAAGATGTTCTTGAACGCTTATCCCATCTTTTCTCTTGAAAGAATACAACTCTTGCTTTAAAACTAACCTGTTGGTGAGATTCTTTCCCATATACAGATTCTCCAACTTCTTCCACATGTACACTTCAGAATTTTCTTTTATCACATCATACACAATATCATCCGCCAATGTTAATCGAATCGCACTCATTGCCTTCACGTTGATCTTCACCCAATTTGCATCTTCCATCTTTTCTGGTTGCTTACCCAAGACATCTTCTAGACTGCGCTGAATCAGTAAACCCGCATCCGAACTTGCCAAAGAATGAAGTTCTTTCTTCCATTAAACTTCTCGACCACGTACTTTCTATCTGTAATAGTTGCCGCCATAGCTCTAATACCAGTTATTAGGGTTTCACACACACAACTGACAAACATAACAGATAAAAAATCACACACAAACAAAAATGAGATTTACGTGGTTTGGCAAATTGCCTAGTCCATGGGTGAAAAACGACTAACTTTATTTCAAAAACTTGATTACACACTATTCTCTCTCTCACACACAATCTTAACTCTCTTTTTCTCTCTACAATTTACTCTTCTCATACCCATATCTATTTATAGAGTCTTCAAACCAAATCCTTGTTGGACAAGTATTACCTAACTTACTTATAAGGAGTTACTATATCAATCCCAACTCTAAAATAGGAACTTTATGGGACACAATTTCCTTAACAAATTTCAACATTCCAAAAAGGGAAAAATAGGAAATTAATTTCAATATTCCAAAACAAAAAAAAAAGGAAATTAATTTCTATAGACAATTTTGAGCCACAACCCAACAATCTCCACCTTGGCTCGAAATTGGTCTTCACACGCTCCTCTACAGCTCCATCTCGAATGAAGATCGCTCCACATTGAGCAAAGATTTCTCCACCTCAAATAAATCACTATAATGAAATTGAGAAACACTCTAACAATCTTCACATTTTCTCAAATTCATCACTCTTCTTCTTGTCGTTCTTCGCCGCACCACTATACTCATCTATTCTTAGCAAATTCCAAGCTCAAATAATTAAACTTGGAATCTACTTTCGCATCACCAAATTGAACTCTTCTTGCTTTCGGAATAAAGGCCGGTACTCTTGCAATTGTCAAGATTTCTTCCTTATCTTGTTGTTCTTGATTCTTTATTCTAGTAGATCTCGAAACAAGCTTCCATTTCGTCTTTGCAATTGCTCCACCTAGCATATTATTTCCTAACAGAATATAGAGATTGTTGACCTTCCTTCCCAAAAGCATGACACGTGGCCCTCTTCTAATCTTCATCAATCCATTTTTCATTTCACACCAACAACCTTTGGAATCCAATACTCCCACAAAGATCACATTCCTTCTAACACTTGGAATATAATGTACATTCATTAGGGTTTATACCAAACCTTTCATTGTCATGATTTTAATTGTTCCAATTCCTATAATATCGCAAAAGATATTATTCCCCATAAATACCTTACCACTTACAGGTTTGTAGATAGCAAACCATTCTTTATGAGGACACATATGAAAGAAAAGAACAAGCAGAATCAAGTATCCATTCCTTAGTTTCTCCCTTATTATCAATGATTAATTATACTTCATCATTATCACTCTCTTTTTTTGTATTGTCAAACACAATAATGGCAGCGGATGCACTCTCTTTTCTTTCTAAACAATACCACTAAATATGCCCATTTCTTCCACACTTAGAACATCTTTTCTTTGATAATGGCACAAGATTTCTTAAAGCTCCAAATCTCTTCTTCTCTTGAGCAATAAGAACTTGAGCCTGATCATCACACCTCTCTTCATCACTCAACTTTTCATTAGAGAACAAAGCACCCTTAACTTGTTCCACCGAGATGGTAACTCTCCCATAAAGCAAAGTATTAAATAAATGCTTATGGGTAGAGCGTACTCACGTCAACAAAATAATTGTTTTATTCTCATCATTTAACTTAACGTCAATGTTAGACAAATCACAAATAATTTTGTTAAACTTACCAAGATGTTCTTGAAGGCTTACCCCATCTTTTCTCTTAAAGGAATACAACTCTTGTTTTAAAACTAACCTGTTGGTGAGATTCTTTCCCATATATAGATTCTCCAACTTCTTCCACATGTCCAATGCTAAATCTTCTTTTATCACATCATACACAATATTATCTACCAATGTTAATCGAATTGCACTCATTGCCTTCAAGTTGATCTTCACCCAATTTGCATCTTCCATCTTTTCTGGTTGCTTACCCAAGGTATCTTCTAGGCCACGCTGAATCAGTAAATCCTGCATCTAAACTTGCCAAAGACTGAAGTTCTTTCTTCCATCAAACTTCTCGATCACGTACTTTCCATCTGTAATAGTTGCCGCCATGGCTCTGATACCAGTTGTTAGGGTTTCACACACACAATTGGCAAATATAACAGATAAAAAATCACACACAAACAAAAATGAGATTTACGTGGTTTGGCAAATTGCCTAGTCTACGGGCGAAGAACGACTAAATTTTCTTTAAAAACTTGATTACACATTATTTTCTCTCTCTCATAATCTCAACTCTTTTTTTCTCTCTACAATTTACTCTTCTTATACCCATATCTATTTATAGAGTCTTCAAACCCAAATCCTTGTTGGATAAGTATTCCCTAACTTACCTATAAGGAATTACCATATCAATCCCAACTTTAAAATAAGAACTTTATGGGACACAATTTCCTTAACAAATTTCAACATTCCAAAACGGAAAAAAAAAGGAAATTAATTTCTATGGATAATTTTGAGCAACAAACCCAACAGAATCATCGATTGTATTGCATGCGTTTGTGAGCCCTACCACGAGGCTTCTTCTTCTCATCCTGGTTGGCCACTTTCGGAGTTTGCCCTCCCACCTTTCCGGCATGAGCCACTGATATGTGAACCTTTCCTGCACAAATACTCGCCCCAAATCCAATAATCAACCGGATCAAACACGCATGATAAATAATTAGAAGCACAAAATTGTAAACATTAGATTTAATTGTATTGAGATCCGAGTATAGAAGATGTCGAGCTTACCTATGGCTTATTGTTGCTTTTCTGAGTTCCAACGATGACCGGTGTACTGTCTTCGATTGCTTGCTTTAGGCGAGAGCGCAACAACCAGAAATGAGTTGGTAATCGAAGAGATCAAGCTATTGATTTCCCTCAGCAATTCAGACGACATACTCCCGATTCAAATGGCAAGTTCTCTCTGTAATTTCTCATTTCGATTGTTGGGGTTTTTGGCAATTTTAAAACACTAAAAACATGTATTTGTGTTATTAAATCTAAAGAAACCAGCGAAATATATAAAAATAAATAAAATGAAAATAAAAAAATAAACAAACAAAGAAATGAAATAATAGATAAATGAGATCGAAGAAGTCAAACCAAGATGAGATTAAAAAAGGACCTGATTAGTGCATTGAAGATCGATGTCAAACCATGATGGGTTCTTTGAAGGACAAATTGAATGTGGGGTTATCTATGGAACCAAGCCCTAACATTTTAAAACTCTCTGAAGAACATAAATAGATGAGAATAATGGAAGTGTTTGAAATTATACAAAACCTATATTAAACGACATAATTTAATATACCCATTTAATGTTTGGTAAAAATATTAAAAAAATTAAATTAAAATATCATTTTGTGCTTGTGTGTATGGTCTTGACGACGCCACGTGTATCTTTTCACCAAACCAAAACATAACAAAAATTTATAGCGCCTAAATTTTACTGCCAGAAAATTTCCACCGCCAATTATTAGGGATTTGGTGATGGTCTCATGGGATTTGGTGACATATCAAGTTTACCGTCCCTAAAGGCTGGGTATTATTAATGGTAACATTTACCGTCCCTAATAATAGGACCTTTAGTGACAGTTTTTGAGTCTGTCACTAAAAAACTGTCCCTAATAGCCTGATTTCTTGTAGTGACACATAACACATGCAGCTAATCATTGGCCAGAGAATGTTCTGACATTTTTCATATGAATTAACCACAATGCCCTTACCAACTCAGCTAAATAGTCCTCTAGTGCACCAGAATTATAGCTCACTATATTAAGGTTGTAATAGACTTCTTATCCAAGACTTGGTGATTAAGAAATGCAATGTAGTGTATGCATTCTCTCACTAGGACCACAACAACGTGTCACACACCTGAACTTCATGCAGAAAGACCAAAATGCCCTTGTAATAGCCACTTGTCATTCTCAACCAAATTCTATTGCTGAGACTGTATATTTTATAATGCAGGCTAAATCACAGTTGTTCAATGCAATGCAAGAATTTGAACATATGTATAATCATATAATATAACTATGAAATGACCATAGTACCCTTGAAAATTCCTGTAGCTAATTTTCATATGCTGGAAGAATGTTTGCACAATAGAGACTTCAAACCATTTGCTTAATTACACATGGATAGGGCTAAAAGATGCATTTTTGCTAGGGTTGGGAGGCTGAGAATAATCCTCTCTCTTATTTTATGTATAAGTCTCTGAATTTTTTGAACCATCCTTGCCTTGATGCATTGGACTAAGCATATTGGTAATTCTAGCAATTTATTATAAAATCTTCAATTTGGGACCATATTAGCTATCTCTCATATCTCTTATCACTTAACATTTAAAGAAATCCAAGAAAAGTTAGGATCATTAATTTCATTCAAAATCGTTATTGAAGAATAATAAAATCTAAAATTAAAGGACAACTGGTACTTGGATTCCAAGTGACCACTCACCCATTAAGTTTTTGACTAGGATTCATCAGACTATTTTCAAGAGAAAAAAATCTTTTTTCAGGAAAATATTGTCAATGTACTGAAAGTTAGCCTACATTTGGTGAGAAGTTCCTACATTTGGTGACAAGTTCTAGAATTAAGTTTTTGAACTACATTTGGTGACAAGTTCCTAATTTGCCACTTGTTCTAGATGAAGGGAAGCTTCAGTTCTTGGTTATAGTTTGTTCATTTAACTCATAATCTTATGCTCCTAATATTTTGTTATTAAGTAATAAGGAATAAATAAATGTCTTGAAAATACAAATTCTTACCCCTAAAGGACAGTCCTAGATGCAGACGTGTTATATAGCATGCTAATGCAATAATTCATATCTAGAACGACCTTTAAACATGTAAGTAAGTCAAGGGATTCAAAAAGGTAAGATATTGTGCTCCATCAGGACCACCACCGACAGATTATTTTCAGATTCAATGATTTTATATGGAAACAGGTGAGGAGTGAAAAATGCCTCATGACAATTTTACATGTTGGAAAAAATAGCATATATATATGTAAGAACTATGCTAAAAGTTAATACCATAATTTTTGTTCATTGTGCTCAGTCAACAACTGAATCTAGCATCAACGAATAGCTAGAGGATCTCCTAGAATAGCATGATAAGAATTATAATGAGAAAGAAAAACAAGCAAAATTGAGTGATACATACATTTTTGTTTCTTGTTGCAAAAATGATGCAATTGCACCAAGTCCACCTAGATACTTAAAATATATTTTGCACATGAAGTACATATATTATTTAAAGATATTGCTTGTAAATTTTTAGCAGATCTCAACTTGCTAGATCCAAGTGACAATCATAAAAAAGAAAAAAGAAAAAAAAAAAAAAAAAAAAAGAAAAAACAGAAAAGAAAAGAGGAACAACCAAGGAATTACCTTTGATAAATGGCATCTTTGTTTCTTGGTGAGAAGAGACACACTGTCATAAAAGAAATAAGACAATATAAAAAAAGGCAGAAAAACAGTTAGATTTCAGATTGGTAGACAGTAAAAACCATCTATGTGAAAACAGAATGCAAAAGTATCATGATAATCTGAAATAATAGGACATGTTCCTGTAAGATTATACAATATGATTTTATCTTGATGCACAGTTTAGATCTCTATTACTCCCGAACGGAACACAAACTTGAGCATTTACAATATTTAATGGTAAACAAATATGGGATTCAGAATAGAAAATGAATGGAAACAATTATAGAAATTATCTCAAAGCAGCATAATTAAGCTACTAAAATCCCTACCAATTAGATGACAAGTTGAAGATGATGATATGAGATGCCTATAGTCCAGACCCTTTTTTCTTCCTCCCTTTCCCCTCTGTTTTTCTTTTTTTCCTAGAGACCACGAGCAACAACAATGTCCTCTTCCTTTCCCTCACAACCTGCAACCAAATAAAATTGATGACTAAGCAAATTATTTTTTCTTCATAAAAAATCCTCTTCATTTCATTACAAACAATGATTTATACCAGACACTCATCGGTAACTCATAATTGCTCCTTTGTCTCTTCAAATTTGGGCCGGCGAAGCTTACCCTACAACGCGATTTAGCCAAAAGCTCCAAAATAACTTGTAATTGCTCATTTGTCTATTCGAATTTGGGTCGGCGAAGCTTTCCCTACAACGAGATTTGGCCGAAATCTCCAAGATCGAACAAAAGCAACCATGAAGAGAAGTGCGAATCAGAGGCAAAAACCCTCTACAAAATGTAACATAACCAAAACTACAAAATCCCCAAATCGAAGAACGAATCAACCAATGACCAGTTTCGAACCCATGGGTAGAATAGAACCCTCTAATGCGCTAAATGGAGAGGTACGTCGCTGAAAATCATGGTTTTACCGTTGAATTCGTTGTTCCGATCAATTACTGATTCGATGGCGGCTAAAATTGTATGCTATGGCTAGGGTGTAAAGATGAAAGATTATGGGCAAAGGTTGAGCTGAGGCGGAACAGAATACGGACCTGATATGTGGAATGTTTGTAGTCAAGAGAGATATTAGGGTTTGAGTACGCAGTCAGTATATATATATATATATATATATATATATATATATTGATTGCAAAGAGAGGGGCTTGAGAGTTGAGAGACACCGGGCCAGCGGCTAAAGCTTGCAAACGGCGAACTCGAACTGGAACAGCGAACGATGGAAACTGAAGGATATGGGTGTTGATTTGTTGAACAATCTGAAATGATATGCTGATATGGGTTTTGATATAGGTAATAGGTTTTGAAATTTTGATTCTTGCTGACAGATAGATAAACTAAATTATATGGGTTTGATTCTTGTAGATTTTGTAGTTTGCAGTTGCAAGGACAAAGAGAGGGCAAGTTCAGAGTTGAGAACGAGAATAGAGATAGAGGCGATTGAGGAGGCCGTGGCTGAAATGATTTGCCCTAAAATTCAAATGCTAAATTTTTTTTTTTTTAAGAAACTAGCAGGAATAAGATCCACTTACAGAATTTCACTTTCGACCACGGTGCAACCACCGTGGTAGAATAAATTACTAAGATGGTTTTTCATTAACCATAGTAGAAAGAGAGGTAAAAGGTAAAATAATATACTTGTTACCACAATTATTTTTAAATCGTGGTAGAAGAATATACTTTCTACCACGGTTATTTTAAAACCATGGTAGAAAGATCCATCTAAATCACATTAAAAATAATTCATGGTAGAAGACCCTTTCTACCACGGTTTTAAAATAACCGTGGTAGAAAGTATATTTTCTACCACGGCTATTTAAAAACCGTGGTAAAGGAATATACTTTCTACCACGGTTATTCATTAACCGTGGTAGAAAATGTCTTCTACCACGGTTTTAAAATAACCGTGGTAAAAAATATACTTTCTACCACGGTTATTTTAAAACCGTGGTAGAAAGGGTCTTCTACTATGATTTTTTTAAAACCATGGTAAAAAACTGTTTTCTTGTAGTGTTTGCTCTTTCGGAATTTTTGAATCTTCAATTTAGCTTCAATTTCGATGAGATAGAAAACAACACTAAATCACTCATGAATATATATGTGTGCTCTCAAAAATAAAATAAGAAAAATCATATTTGATTTTCTGAAAAATATCTCACTAAAGGCTTTCTCAAAATAATTAATTGATATTCCTCAAAGTTATACCTCAATGTTGAATGAAAGAGGTATTATATAGAAATTTGGATGACCTAAGAATACTTGTAAAACAAGTTAAATTCGTACATAGAATTCTGGAAGGAAGTCTAGACTAAAAAGGAATTAAGACAAATTAGGAAACTAAAGTTACCAAACAAATCTGTAAACCTTGAATCGGTTCAAGATGGCCAGTACTCAATACAAAGAATCTTTTTGATTCTTGAACCAGTTCAGGAATGTTTGAACTGGTTCAAGATGCCCAGTCTTGAATTTTTCACAGAACCTCAAATGTTGAAGCTGTTCAAAGCGGGCTCCCGCCAAACGTTCCAGTGAGCCTCATCCGGATGCCTAACACCCGCGGGCGCCCACCAGACAATAGACAAGTAGCCATGGGCTTCACCTTTCTTCACCAAATGTTATCCCTTAATTTAGGGGATTGCTCTAAATGGTCTTGGAGTTAGAGGACCACATATTTAGGGGTAAATGGATGGCTAAGGATATATATTAGAGGGTGGTTACATTGTAAAGGGGATATCATATATTTTTGCAAGATTTATAGAAAGAGAAATATTAGAAGAGGGGGTTTTTGTGTGGCTTGAAGGGCTGAGCTCGAAAATGAAAGAAGTCTCAAAGTTTCCTCCTTCCTCTAGTGCATCCATGGGTAACTAAACCTTCATCTAAGGAGGTGATGAAGCCCTCCCTTGTAAGCATGTTCTAGATTAATTTTTATTTTGGGGATAATAATGTATAATTTTGGTATTTCCATGACCTAGAGCTTCTCACTTGTTGTAATGGATTCTAATGTCTATAAATGGTTATTTTGAGTTAATTATCTTGTCTTAGATGATTTCTTTTATTAACCATATCGCTTGTATTTTCATAGTGACAATGAAAATAAGGTTGTGGAATGGTTTTAATGGCATGTTGATAGAGAGCCTTGATAGTCCATTGCTTAGGTAATCCCTTTGATGGTTTATGCTTGATTCATAACTTCATGTGCTTTATCATTTGATTATGGGCTTGATGATCTTTTGCTTAAGAGAGTATGCTTGATACTAAACCCTAGTTTAGGTAGTTCAATTTATATGAACTTTTGATGGATCATTCTTGTTTTTGATTTAAAGAACTTCTTGACGACTATATAGCAACCATTGGTTGCTATATAATTCTTGACCATTATATATATTGTTTCTCCCCAATTTAGTCTTTTTCTAGCATGTGTAAAGGGTTGGAGTGGATTCATTTCCCTAGTCTTCTATTTCTGAATTTCTTTTCACTAAAGTTCTTACAAGTTATTATTTTATGCATTTTAAATTCCTAAGTTTAGTGACAAACCAACAAACCTCTATACCCTTTGATTATTCTAAAAGTGATTCTAGATATCTTAGTTGCCATAAACCAGCAGTCCCAGTGGTTCGACTTACCCGACCAATAGCCCTATTTTACAATGATTTGTGCTATTGCAAAAGGGTTGAATATAAATGGACTCCGATCACTCACTCAGCTGTACCACTTTCCAACTAGCTTGTATTCACTAGGACATTGACTTTCACAGACACACATATAAGATCAAGTAAGTGCACATAGGCACTCCCCCAGTCCACAGCCCCTTTACTTGGACACTTAAAGCTCTTAATAGCTTAAATAATAGTGAATAAAGGTGTCAACACACCAAATACAATATACTTAAGTTGGAACACAATGTAGGAATTCATAATTCAGCCTTAAGTACTCACAACATCAAACCCTAGCTTTCACTTTTCTGCAACAAGAAGGATAGAACTGTCAAAACATAGTGCAGCTTCACTTGATGATTAAACTAGGTTCCCACAGCCTTGACTCAGCCAAATACACTTTCTTGTATGTACTACACAAGTAGATAAACAATAGTGGCTCCCAAAAGGCCAAAACCTTAAATTCAAAGGTATAAAGGTAACTTCTCAATGCAGCTCCAAGAATGGCCTCCAATTGTCTTGCACAGCTCTAAATAGCTAAGATATTCTTAAGAGATAAACTCAGTGAAACCAGCAAGGTATAATAAAGAAAGCTCACAACAACCTTGAAGTCCCCAAAAACCTTAGCTTTAAGCTTTTAAGGGTAAGATTGTAAATTAGCCATAGAACCAACCTAATTTCAATACCCTCAATCGTCAATAGGTAGAATACACTTGCTCAGCTAATAAGTTCAATACAAGTAGCAAGGCATAGCATAGATATCACAGTTTAAAAAATGACTCTAACAAACACTAGTTTTGTAGCTTCAAAGGGCAACTTTGCAATGTAGCTTCATTTCAGGCTTACACTTGGTTCCCACAGCCATGTATCATGAAAATAAACTTGTTAAAATGTATAGAACAATTTAGACAGCAAGTTACAGCAATACACACACACAAATAGGCTTAACCTCAACACACCCTAACTTTCCAGCTTCAAAGGGTAAAACTATAAACTAGCTTTAGAACCAGCTCAAACTTCACTCCCCTAGTCTTCAATAGCCCAAATACACTTGCTCAAATAATTGTTATCAATAGAACAACAAGACACAACAATATATGCTCATTATAACCACTTTAAGGTTAAAAACTTGATTTTCAGTTCTTGCCAAACACTACCTTAAGAAGCTTCATATCCTCAACCATCAAGTGTTCCTTCAGCTTAAAAATGATAAATTAAACTTGTTCTACAGCTAAGATAATTTATACACCCAAGGATATAACATTTCAGCTCAAAAACCAGCAAACAAATGTTTTACAGTAGGTACAATTTACTACACCTGTTACTTTCTAGTTTGAGGTGTAAAATAATCAAAATGTCTTCTGTCAAAGGTTCCCTCAACTTGGCATTGATGAAGTATACTTGTACTGAAGCTTGGACATAATTTAACAGCAATGAATCAACAATTTATAGCTCAAAATGGCAGCAAACAATAGCTTGCATAAGGTGAATTTGGTGCACTTGTTATCTTTAGGTTTTAGGGGGCAAATCAGTAATTTCGTGGCTGGTCCTTCTTTTCTCCAGCTCCTACTGCTGTATTTCATCATATAACACTTGCTCACATCATTACTTCTCAGGTTATAGCAAGGTGTTATCAATTTGAAGTCCAAAATCAGCATATACACCAGATTTTTGCTGCAGCACTATTATAAGGGTATTTTTAGTTTTTCAACTCTACCAACATTTGGATTTTAGTTTTCTCAAGTGTAAATCAACTGTATAAACATGCTCTGCAAAGTAATACACCAGATAGAGCTAGATATTTCAATGTCAACACCAAAAATACCTTTGTAAATAAGTGTAAATTCTAGTTGATGTGGTTCACAACACCAAAATCCGAACAGGTCATTTCTCAGGCTAAATTCGAACTTAGACAGCCTCAAATCAACAAACTAGATATGCAATCTGTGTGAAATAGCAAAGAGTGGAGAGATCCTTTACAATGCAATCAATCTCAATAATAGAACCTTGATTAGCCTTGCTTTCATCTGTTAAAACTGATGTAGAACTTTCTTTAAAACTGTTGTTCTTTGATTTGAGCTTCACTATGTTACAAATAATAAGTGAAAAAAAAATAATAATAAGACTGAGAGTTTAAACTTGAAGTCTTCAACACGAGTGTTATTTTCAGCTTCTTCTTTTTGAACAAGAGAGTTAGTATCCCGAGTGATCATATCTTTGATTATTTCTGATGCTTCATAGTCTTCTTTAGTAGTGTATTCTCTCCCAAGTAAGTCCCACACTTCTTTGGATAATTTACGGCCCTTGACCTTCCTGAGATCCTGATGAATTAAACCACTTAGAATAATTTGTTTTCCCCTTGAATCACTCAACATACCTTATTCATTGAGCATAGATAATCCCTTAGTTGTAGCATACCACACATCTTATGATTGTGACATTAGATAAACCTCCATTCTAACTTTCCAATCTTTAAAGTTTGTACTATCAAGACATGGTGCATGGTCAATGCATAGACCTTCCTTTATGAACCAACAATCTTTACTGTAGGCTTGTTAATTCTTTGGTTATGCAGACCAAGGCTCTGATACCAATTGTTGGACCAAGAAGGGGGGGTTGAATTGGTCTTAGGTACTTTCTTTCTTTTCACTTGAGTACAAACATGTGTAACATAAGGGATATAAACCAATGTAAACAATCAAATCACACGGACACAAGATATACAAAGAAACCCTATCAATAGGGAAAAACCTTGATTCTTGGCCTCAGCCAATAAAAGCCTGCATTAGTAGTATGAACCTTGTTACAAACTCAGATATCTCACTCGCTGCACACACCTTTGTACAAGAATAGATACTAGTTTTCACAACCAATTCACACACACTAGCTCACTATCTTCACTTGCTGCATGCAAGTAATTCTTACTCAGCTATCACACTTTCCAACCACTTGTACTCATTAGCACACTGAA